ACTAAATGTTATTATCATGAAAGTGTTGAATTTTGTCAAATGCTTTTTTGCATCATCTGAAATGGTCTACTTTCCCCCCTTTGCTCTGTTAATGTAATTGATTGGTTTTAGTATGTTGAGCCATTCTTGCATTCTTGGGATAAATCACACAAAGTCACGGTGTAAATTATAATCTAATTTTTAATTTTGCTGGATTTGATTTACTAGTAACTTGTTAAAGGTTTTCATCTTTATATTCATAAAAGATATTAGGTAGAATGCTTTCTCAACTTCATTTAATCCTTTTTCTGAGGTTTTGTCTTGTTCTTTTGTGTGGAACATGTTTCTCTGTCTCATTTTGCTTAATCCTCTGTTTTTATATCTGTGCATTTGGTAAGTTGGCTACATTTCCCAATCTTAGAGAAGTAAGTAATCTTACATGGAGATGTTCTGAGAAACCCAACAGTATACGCTTCTCTGATCATCAGAGTTATAAGCTCTAAGGGCTGTTTATGTATGGGCTACATGAATCCTTCCTTATTGTGGGCTTGACGGTTGTGGACAAACTAGCAGCCAAGGTTGACCCTCAGCCCTGTTGGAAGCCAGACCGTGCCTCATGCAGTGGCTACTGGCCCACTGTTGGGAGAGGATGGGTCCCTGCCTGGCTGGCTGCATGTCCTATGGGGTTCCTGGACTGGGACCCAATGCAGCTGGCAGAATAGCCTGAAGTGTACTGGGATTGGTGATGGCTCACTGGTTGGCTGGTAAGCCTCTAGCACTAATAGACTAGAGGGAGGACTCCAAAATGGTGCTTATTAGAACCAATGTCCTTATGGTAGAACAAGCTTCCAAAGTGGCTGCTACCAGTGTGTGTCTCCAAGAGAAGTTTTCCAGTTGCCTCCTGACTCTTCAGGAGGCTCTCCAAGATCTATAAATGGGTCTGAGCCAGCCTCCCTTCAGATTACTGCCTCTGCACTATATTTGGACTGTGTGAGATTTTGCATGTGTCCTTTAGAGTAGAGTGTCTGTTTTCTGTAGCCCTCTGGCTCTCAAGTTTTATTGGCCTACAAAGCCAGATGATCTGGGGGGTTTGTCTTCCTGGTGCAGGACCCCTTGGCAGGGGAGCCCAATGTGGGGCTTGAACCTCTGACTCCTTGGGGAGAACCTCTACAGTTTTGACTATCCTCCCATTTGTGGGTCACCTATTCAGGGCTGTGGGTCTTGACTATACTGTGTCTCCACCCCTCCTATCTATGTCATTATGGTTCCTTCCTTATATCTTTAGTTGTGGGGAATGTTTTTGCTACTCTTCAGATCATTTTCAAAAATAGTTGCTCTATAAATATTTGTCATTTCAGTGTGCCTGTGGAAGGAGATGAGCTCAGAGTTTCCCTTTTCCACTATCTTGGCCATTCTTTTTGATCATCTTTTATCTTGTACATACGTCTGTCATAGCACCTGCTGTGCATATTGCATTTATGAATTTAATCTTTGCCTCCCTGTTGGAATGTAAGCTCCTTGATAACAAGAATAGTTGCTTTCATTCATCTTTGTATCTCTAGCAGAGTTCTAGGCATGGAGTGATATCTTAGTAAATATGTACTGAACAAATATTTTATGTATGTGTAAAATAGGGTACAGAGTAGCAGTATATCTCAGCTCTCCAGAGTAAATCCTGTAGTTAACATATTAACAGCTAGTTTATGTGTCTTTTTAATGGTACTCTATTTTGATCACTTCAGTTTGAATTGAAATATGTTGTTTCAGGGACCAGTAACATTTAAGGATGTTACTGTGGAATTCACCCAGGAGGAATGGAAATTGCTGGACACTGCCCAGAGGACCCTATATAGAGAAGTGATGCAGGAGAACTACAGTCACCTCATCTCAGTGGGTGAGGAAATCTTCTGCATCTGTAACTCCCAGTAGTTTTCATTTCCTTTATCACTTACTGGAATTTGTAAATCCTGTGTAGGGTTGAATATTAGCATTGTTTTCAGGGTCAAAGTTGATGAATCCATTTTGGGTAGCAGAAAAATATTTGTGTCCCCATGCACTCCCCTAATAGAATAAATTTGCCAAATCTACGTGAGACCTTCATTGTTCTGATCCTAACCTGCAGTTCCTTATCCTTCAGAGTTGCTGTATTCCAAGTAATTTGTGTTATTTTATCTTTTCTATTAATAGGCTATTGTGCAAATAGGCCAAATGCAATCTTCAAGTTGAAGCAAGGAAAAGAACCATGGATATTAGAAGTACAATTTCCACGTCAGAACAAGCCTGGTAAGTTAGAAATTATAACTCGCATAAGGGGGTTGGAATTGATGCCTTTGACTTTTTGAAATTTTTTTTCAAGAATCCCTTTTTTAAATGCCCTAAACTTTTGGAAATGATTGAGAATACTTGATCTGCATATGTAAGCAACATAAATCACACCTCCGGTTTTTGTTCTCCCCATCTAAATTCCCTCTTTTGTGTGGAGCAGATGGAGATGATTGATTTTTTGTTTAAAAAAAATTCCCTCTTTTGCTTGACATTTTTAAAATAGATTTATTTCTTTTTCCTACATACTAACTTTCACTTAAAACTCTCATTTTGTCTTTTTGCTAGAATTTCCAGTTACTCTTTGCCATTAAAGTATGCAGCTATAATCTTAAAGTGTTTATAAAATCTATCTTATAAAATTTTCAAATGGCATTTTCCTCCCTTCATTAACAATAAAATGTCTTAGATTTTCAGCACCCATTTTAATTTACTATTCTCTTTAATCTCTGAAACTGGATTATAAATCATTATGCCTTTCATGAGCTATATTATTGCAGAGTTGATACAAAATACACCTAATTTTCTGTCAAGAACTAGTCTGGCCCTTTATTGCCTGCTGCATCTTATTTTTTCCTTGTGGCCTCAAAACATGTGCTAATCTTCATTTTATCTGCTCTCTTAAATGCTTTATATACATAAGATCTTATTTCTTGAGTATCCCAAGTTAACCTTGCACATATCCCTATCAAGTAACTTTATATTTTCCTTACAAGTGCCATGAAATTCTAACCCCAAATCTCTACTCAATCTCACTTTTTTTTCAAGCATTTAAAAATGAATAAACATGAAGGTCTGTAAAGATTCTAGAATGACATTGAATAATTACCCTTTAAAGATCATGTAGAAAATTGAAGCAGAGATGAGGGAGCTAAGACATGAAAGCAGAATAAGACTAGTGTTGTCACAATTGCAGTATTTGGCGGTCAGCATTGAAAATCTCTGTTGCTACGACTGGGAATTCATTCTGTGGGATGGCTTGTACTCTGCTTTTTAAAAAATCTTTCCTTTTGGATGTATGTGTTTCTGGGTCTTCTGAACCAGCCAACTAGAAAGAGAAGAATTTTCCTCTAAACATGAGGAAATGGATGTTCTGAGAAGGTCACTTTGGTGTTGACATCTAGATTGTTGGGTATGGGCAAAGAGGAATAAAGTGGAAGTTTATAGTCTAATTACTAGAAATTCTAACACTGTAAACTAGGTTTGAGTGGGTAAAGACCTATACTTAGCTCTTTCATCTAATGTAATCTTTCCTTTGATACTTCCAGTGAACACAGTTGTCTACTAATTTTCCTTATCACCCTACTTACTATTCATTGTCCTTAATGGGCTCACATCATGCTCTATGAGTCTCACATTCTTGTTCAGCAGCACTTTGAATACCTTTTGTTTTCTGCTCCCTATTCTTTGTGTGTGTGTGTGTGTGTTTTGTCTTCACTTTCTCCTCCAAGTTTTTAAGGTCATATTTGTAGTGTCAAAGTTACTTGAATTTATAACTAGGTCTCTCCCTCTTTGCTATAGCACGTTTTAGTGTTATTTATATGTTTTTTTCTAAGCCACTGAGATAGAGGAAGTTTGCACTTAAGAACTCCTTCATTTGAGAATAGTTGCCTGAAACCCAAGAATCCACTCTATGACCTAATAATGTGTTAAGATGTATAAAGTATTAAATTTTGGATTCCTTTGTAGAAGACGTATGCAATACTCATGACCAAGGAGCAAGATGCCCGGAAAGCCAAGCTGAAAATTCAAGGCAAGTTCAAGAATTCAATTTTGAGATTAGAAGCTTTTTAAGAAAGGGTCTTAATAGGGGTACTGGAAGTGAGACAGCACTAGTTCGTGATAAATGAGAAAACTGAAGCAAATTCCAAAGAACATAATCCAAATGGGAAAGCCCTCTTTCATAATAGAGACCTTTTATAATTCAAGATCAGGAGAGTAAAACTATGAAACAGTCTTTTGATTCTTATTTACATAATAAGAGAGGCTTTATTATACAAAGTCAAGTTCAGGCAGTTGAGAAACCTGGAGAATATAATACAAGTGAAATACCTTCTACCAAATGTTAAACCACAGTATATGTCAACATAGAATATTCACAATGGAGAAACCCTATGACGCTAATGAATATTGGAAAAACCTCTAGAAATCGGTTGTCAGAGTTATTTGAAAAATATACACAGCAGACCCAACCTCCACCCCATCACCCCAAAGTCTTATACATTAATGAATTTGGAACTTTCTCTCTAGGAATGAAGAACTCAAGAAACATCAGAAAACTCATACCAATGAGAAAACCTATAAATGTAATCAATGTGGAAAGTCCTTCTACCAGAAGTCTATCCTCATAATACATGAGCATACTCATTCAAAGGACAAACCCAGTGAATGTGAGAAATCCGTCTCTCAGAACGGACACCTCACAAGGCAACCAAAAACTCCTACCAGAGAGAAGACCTATGAATGTAAAGAATGTAAGAAAACTTTCTACCATCTGTCATCTCTCAGTAGACATTTGAGAACTCATGCAGGAGAGAAACCGTATGAATGTAATCAGTGTGAGAAATCCTTCTACCAGAAACCACACCTCATGGAACATCAGAAAACACACACAGGAGAAAAACCCTTTGAATGTACTGAATGTGGGAAGTTCTTCTATGTTAAGGCATACCTCATGGTACATCAGAAAACACACACAGGGGAGAAACCATATGAATGTAAGGAATGTAGGAAGTCCTTTTCCCAGAAATCACACCTCACAGTACATCAGAGAACACATACAGGGGAGAAACCCTATAAATGTAAGGAATGTGGGAAATTCTTCTCTAGAAATTCACACCTCAAAACTCATCAGCGAACTCACACAGGAGAGAAACCCTATGAATGTAAGGAATGTGGTAAATGCTTCTACCAGAAGTCAGCCTTAACAGTACATCAGCGAACTCATACAGGGGAGAAACCCTTTGAATGTAATAAATGTGGAAAAACCTTTTACTATAAATCGGACCTCACTAAACATCAGAGAAAACACACAGGGGAGAAGCCCTATGAATGTAATGAATGTGGTAAATCTTTCTCTGTGAATTCAGTCCTCAGATTACATCAAAGGACTCACACAGGAGAGAAACCGTATGAATGCAAGGAGTGTGGGAAATCCTTCTCTCAGAAGTCACATTTTGTCATACATCAGAGAAAACACACAGGAGAGAAACCCTATGAATGTAAGGAGTGTAAGGAAACATTTTTTCAGAAATCAAAACTCACTGCACATCAGAAGACACACACAGAAGGGAAAATCTTATAAACAATATCAATTGGAGAATTCTGTCTGAATTTGTCCTTCAGAATAATCAGATAACTCACACAAGACAAAAAACCTTATGAAATATCATCAATATAGGAAAACTTCAGCCACATTCTTTCATCATGGAGAGAAATTCTATAAATCTCTTAGGGAGAAATTTTTACCATATGTCAGACTTTTACTAAATTTCAGACAACATACATGGTAGAAACACTACAAATGGTAAAACATGAGGGAAACCTCTCTTTCAGAAGTCATACTTTATTGTACAACATATAAACCATACAAGAGAAATCTATAAGAAAAATGAATATCAGGAAATTTCTGTCAGGGTAGCCATCATAAATGAGAGATTTCTATCAGTATCCTGAGCATTCAGAAATCTTTTTGTACCTGTTGAACTAATTAGCACATTCTAAAAGGAGATAATCACAAAGATTACAACATATATGGAAGGCTTTATCAAGAAGTGATGTTTCAGTGAATGTCAGATCAGTGATATAAAGTATAGAACCGTTTTAAAAAATATTTTAAGTATGTGAAACCTTTTAAACAAATTCTAAGAGAATATGTACGAGGAAAATACTTATACTAGAGGTCATGTTGCAGAAATCTGATTACAAGGTTGTTTTTCTTTTAAAGAAACCTGCAAATGTCGGGTATATGAAGTTTTGTAAAAAGCACAAATAAATTGAAAAATGTAACATCATTAACACATGTGAAAAGTCCTTTAGTATGTAGGACTTATGTGTGAATGTTAGTGTGCTACAGAACACAGATTGTGGATGTTTGATGTGCATGTGAACCCATCCATAATTGTACATAGTGAAATATGTAGCCTTATTTAGTTCAGTAACTTTTATGTATATGAAGATATCTCTCATTTAGTCTCAGCAGGGGCTCCTGTTGTTAACAGAATGTGTATTTAAGTGTAGTATTCTTTCAAAATTATAATGTATCTCCCCCCCCGCCCCATTTCTGAATGGATATGGATTTTACTGAACTAATCTTTCAGAAAGAATATAAAAATGTTTCTGTAAAATTTGCAACTCTCTTATGGTTGGTCAAATTTTCCATTAGGGATACATTTATAGGAAAAAGGCTTCCCCAGTGGCTCAGTGTAAAGAATCTTCCTGCCAGTGGTGGAGATATGGGTTCAGTCTCTGGGTTAGGATGGCAACCCACTCACTCCTGTATTCTTGCCTGGGAAATGTCAAGGACAGAGGGGCCTGGAGGGCTCTGGTCAACAGGTTCACAAGAGTTGGATGTGACTTAGCAACTAAACAACAACAAGTTCATTTTTAAAAACAGCTGAAAATCCCTACATAATAAAAAAATATTATGTGAAGAAATATCTGTTAGTGTTGTTTTAGTAAGTTGCAGACCTGTCTGAATTTATATTTTGTATGAGAGTCCTAAATGTTCTTCACTACCTTTTTCTTTCTAGTAGAAGCAACATGACATAGAGGTTAAGAGTATGGACTTTTGACTCCTACTGCCCAGGCTGTTTCTAGCATGAGGCATGCACCTAACCTCTTTGTGCCTCAGTTTCCTTTTTCATAAAAAAAGCGATAATAGGATTGCTTTGAGTTGTAAATGAGTTAATATTTTTAAAGCACTTAGAATAGTGTCTGAGACAAAGGAAGAGCTATATGTTAGATACTATCATAATAATTTGTATTTCTTGAATTATTCTGCAAAATAAATAAAAGGTTGGCTACCAGCATTCGCCCCTCACTTTACTGCTGCAGTGCCTTGCTTTGATTTGGTTGTATATTTTTCTGCAAGTGATTCAGATCTGGCCCACTGCCTGCAATGTTTTACCTTTCTGAATGGTTGAAAAAGATTATTTTGTGATGTGAAAACTATACAATATTCAAACTTACATGTCTGTAAATTCAACTTTTGTTAGAACACTAATAAAAAAAATTTGTTTGTTTTGCCTGTGGCTGCCTTCACATTACAGTAGCAGAGCTGAGTACACTGAAGAAGACCATATGCCCCACAGGGCCTAAGATAGTTACTTTCTGGTACCTTACAAACTCAAGTTTTCTTAGAACTGAAAGCGTCACAGCCAACACAGAAGTATATTTTTACATGTGGTATGTGTTTCAGAAATTGTGCATATATCAGTTTGTGGGTAAGTGGAGGTTCTTTGCAATATCTTTGTTATGTGCATTATATATATGTTACAAGACTATATACGCATTAGAATTCTTTTCAAAGATATGTTTTAGCTGCCGGACTGTCATAACATCAAAACAAATACTCTGGTGGAATGTAGCAGTAAATTATGAAATAAACATTGTCTAAATTAAATTAATTGATCCCTACTCACAGTATTCCTGTATTTTCTTCTATGTCCATGGCCAGTTTTCCCTGTATCATTTTTAAATTTTATATCACATAATAAAATACATCTTTATGTCATACTTAACTAAGTGCAACCGAACAACAACAAAAAGAATACCCAACTCCACCAGCTACATTACTAGTAAAATTACTTTATTGCCCATACTTCATAGAATTGTCAAGTACCGCTCCAATCTAAATCCTGCCATCTTATTTCCCCTTCCTAATAAAAAGGACTTTTATGATGTTTAGCTTCCTCCTCATGCCTCATTTGTGTTTAATATTAATGAGTACCTAGTATAATATTTAGAGTAATATATTTAGTGTATTTAGTGTAAAACATTTAGTATAATATTTAGTATAATATTATTTATAATAATATTTAGTATAATATTTGCTTACATCTTATGTATACTTTGTACTTATATAACGTCTGAATACTCCATGGTAAACTACTGGCTCTTACAGGAGCATGCCATCTTGATACATGTTTAAGAGGAAACAATCTCTTTAGTGTTCTTTATTTCAGTGTGAAAACAAATACATTGTATAACTTCTTGGGCTTCTCAATCAAAAATTAAATAAAAATTAGTACTTTCTGGGGACAGTCCAATAACTGAGGCAAATCTACTTTGAGAATAAAGCCTGTACTAATAAAAATACTTTTAAAAATTAATACTCTGGTAAGAGAAAAATGTTGCTAGTCTCCAAGTTGAAGAAAACCTGAGACGCTGTTTCTTGCCCATAAGCCCCAAGATATGAACTAGTAACCACCAAAATTGATAGATCAGAGACAAGTGATCAGACACTGATGGCAATTAACTGGAGAATTTTCTCACTAGTGCACATGCTTATGAAAACCAGCTAGCTGTGACAACTCATTTCTGAAAGCCAAGCAACAGCTTTCACTCTGACACACTCTGGAAATCCAGCAAGTCAGCTATGGCCTACTCCAGTGACGACTACTACACTTTTTGAAAGAGCCAGTCAGTCCCTCAGCACTCCGCTTTGGAAAGTCTACAAATCCCTGAATCCCCCATTTCCCCAAACCTTTTATCATTTCTTTCTCTGATTGATTTACAAATATAGGCCTCTTTTTGTTAGTTTGATGGTCAAAGATGGACAGTATCAATTCCTTCCCTCATGCTATTCTGTGACTAAGAGACAGATTGATTTTCCCATCTTCTTGAATCTGATTGGTCTTGTGACTTGTTTTGGCTTATTAGCATATTACAAAAGTGTCAGGCCTCCCCTTTAGGAGTATGGCAGCTTCCACTTTCCTTCTCAAAGCTAGTAACATGGAAAAAGTACAACTAGTCTGAGATCACCAATTTGTGAAGAAACTCAAGCTACTGAGGATGAAACCCCACAATGCTGGACATATGAGTGAAGTTTTTCAGACCTTCCAGCCTAGCCCCATCACTGCCTAAATGCTAGCTGAATGAGAGGATACAGCTAATAACTAGTGGAGAAGAAAAATCATCCACTCTTATCTATAGAGAAATAATAAGTTATTATTTTAAGCCTGTTAAGTTTTAGGTGTTTTTGTTGCACAGTAATAGATGGCTGAAACAGAAAAGCAATAAGTCAAGCTTTTCGTTCCAAATGTTGGTTAGACTCTTCTTTCACAGTAACAGTTACATAGTATAATTATCCCTTAGAAGTTTACCACAATTAATACTATGACAGTTATTTAATCTAGTTTTTAAAAAGGACTTACCTCCCAAACACCACCCTGTTTCCATGAAAGAGAAGCAATCTTGGCTAAATTAGGCTATTTCATACTGCATGGTGTCATCCCAACTATATCCAGACCTTGAAACTTACATAGCAAAGAATAAACCCCAATGGAAGGGGGAAATTATCCATACTTTTTTTTTTTTTTTACAATAAAGACTCTACTTAAGAAATTCAACAGGTGATAAGATCTTGCCTTATCTGTAAACTTCAGATGTTGTTGGACACTCCTTCATAGAATATTATAGCCATAGGCTCTAAAGGTGTGTGTAGTTGACTGATACATGGTCTCATGATAATTTAGGGCAGAGAAAATACTGGGTTGGTGTGAGAGATTGGTTGTTTTGTATAGGAAACATATGCTCCAGGCCTGGCTCTATCCCTTTGCTATCTCTAAGAATTGGCTAGCCCTAAGAGACAAAGTCTCTCCCTGGTCTGCAAGCTTCATAAGATGTAAAAACATCATAGAACACATAAAATTTAAAAATATGATTAATACACTATGCTTTGAAAAAGCTTAATATTTCTCAGCCTAAAGTTCTACAGCTGTTCATGATGATAAAGACAATGTGATTATATCTTAAAATCTCTATAAATTCTCATGAAATTGTTATTGAATGATCTGAAACTTGGCTTGAATTTTCTCCTCACAGTATCCAAATTGAGATTATCGAATATCTAATAACAGGCACACAGTCATAAGCCCAACAGGTGAAAACTGCATTTCCAAAAGTGGTCACCAGAAACATCTCCACTTATATAATGAAGAGATTAAATATGTGAAA